AGATGGAGCACATTTTTGTTTGTGTCTGCTCTTTATGAAGACATTACCAGGATGAAGGGCTCGGTGTAAATAACTTTATTTCATCCCAAATGAAGGGTTTCAGGTCTTTATTTGTACAGTCATATAACATGACTATAACACTTTAATCAGCTGGAGCAGCAGAAAGATATCAGCACCTCCATGAGGTGCAGGACAGACAGGACCCTGCAGCTCTGAGTTATGACCCAGAGTCAAAGGAAAAGGCCTTTTTGGAGCCGATTGTTCCTGGGAAAGTTGGTCTACATGAGAGAGAGCTGTCAGCTCTGTGTGGACAGAGCCAGAGATGGACTGCTCCACACAAGGCAGAGATTGTTCCTTCTCCTCTCCTTCGATTCACTACAAGACTATAATGCTGCGTTCCCATGGCCGCTGAGACCCTGTGTTGGTTTAGTGATGTCATGAGTAGGTGTTAATGCCTCCTTAGTTTAGCTGCTGAGAAGGAACCTGTCTCTTCTCTCAGATTTCAGATTTTCACAAACCCTTAATACCCACTGTGGAGCAGTACCGTCTTATTTTGACCACCGGATGATAGATTTATAAAATATAAATAACTAACCGCATCACAAAAGTCAGGATTCAGAAATAGACAGAAGACTGGATAAGAAGGATAAAGTCTAAACCAGGAAGAATATGAGGAATACTGGAAATCCTGGTTAGATTCTAAGGACCAATGATCTGCAACTCTGAGATTGAGGAGACAGCTGTTGTCCTGAAGCTGCTTCGGTTTGTTATTATTGTTGAGATTTCAACCTGTTAAATTACTCGTTTATTCACTTCTTTAGAGTTCTTCTGGCCTCGGAGGAGGTCACAGAAGACCTTGAGTTCCCATCAATACATACGTTTGGTGACTTAAGGTTTCATCAGTGAACTCTTGAGGTAAATTCATAAGATCTGCCTCTCCTGGGAAGGTTCACTGCGGTTCCATGATTTTTCCTGCGCAGAACGTTATTTTTTAGGTTAAATCTGGTCGGTTCATCATAGTCCTGGTTTAGTCCAGAAAGACTTGTTGAAAATTGGACTGTTTGGTTGCTCTGATTTTGTCCCACTTCAACCCAATAATAGACGCTGAAACAATCTGAAAATATTGGTTTTCAGCTTTTACTTTTCAACCAAATACAGACGTTGGTTGGACATAAATCGTGTTTTCTTTTCAACCAATGTTTGCTGAGTGGGTGGATCATACTCTGGTTCTCTGGGGCATCAGATCAAGTGAAACTTTTAGACTGAGATTTTAACAACTTTGTTTTCTTTGTCGCACTTTGACTTCATGACGTCAGTCAGATCCATACTCTACTGGTCAGAAAATGATCAGGTCTACAGAGCTACATCATTTAGACTGAACATTGTAATGTTTTTGGTTAAATGTCATGTTTGATGAGGCAGACACCCTGTCTACTTTTAAGGCTAGGCTTAAAACTTTCCTTTTTGATAAAGCTTCTAGTTAGAGTGGCTCAGGTTATCCTGAGCTATCTCTATAGTTCTGCTGCTATAGGCTTAGACTGCTGGAGGACATAGGGACCCCTTTTTCATCATTCTGCTTCATTCTATCTCTATTCTCCCACTCTGCAGAATCTGTTAGTTCAATCTCTAACGTTCTGCTCTCTCTGCTTTTTCTCATAGTAGCTTCATCTGGTCTGTTCCTGTTTGGCTGTGACTCCATCCTGGAGAGAAATATCAGCTGTGCTGCTGCCATCAACACCTTTGTTTCTAGATGTTGGAGCTTGGCCTGTTTTCCAGTGTAGTCCTGTTTCTCTGACTGTGACTAACTGGATGTGCTCTCTTCATCCTCTGACATGGGAGCTGGCTCGGAGCTCGTCTGCCTGGCTGTGTGTTTCCTGGACGGGGCCGCCTGTGGAGCTGGTTGACAGTTGCCTTTTGTATCTATGCTTCTTTTTCTATGTCTGCTTCTGTCTCCTTGAACCCCAGTGGGCCTCAGCAGATGGCCGCTCACACTGAGCCTGGTTCTGCTGGAGGTTTCTTCCTGTTCAAAGGGAGTTTTTCCTCTCCACTGTCGCTACAAGCATGCTTAGTGTGAGGGATTGCTGAAGAGTCCATGAGTCGATGCAATCAGCTGGTTTTCCTTAGATAGAAAACTTTGAATCAATCTGACTGGATGATCTGGTGAACTGGAAAGTGACCTGAGATGACATGATGTGAATTGGAGCTATAGAAATAAAGTGAATAGAATTGAATTGATGATCAAAAAAGAAATCAGGAACCAATAATCTGTGTTTATCCCTTTTTCAGCTCAGAAACAAATAAATCCGGATTATTCTGGATGTTTTTATCAGAGGATATTGCTGATACGGACAGCAGAACCAGTGTTGGTCCTTTCATGGCTCCCCGGTCCGTCTGCCAGGGAGTAATGCAGATCTTCACACATTCCCAGCTATTTGGGCTCCATCGCTCTTTCCCAGCCACATTCTAATGGCTCTATAAAGTCTGGTGACCTCAGCCTCTCACATTTACAGCCAATGACTTTAAGTGTGTCCAATCCAATCCGCAGGTATTTATTGACAGAGAAGTGCACAGCCTCCCACTAAGTAAATTGAAATCGCTGGCCTCCCATGGGATGTCATTTCAGCTGCTGGCCAGCTGGGGGTGGGTGGGGGGTGGGCGGTTAGAGCACAATCACTGAGGGATGTTTAGCATATTTATGCGTCATAAAGAGCGCTCTGCCCCGAACCAATGACTTTAATATTCTCCTAATTCAAACATTAAACAAGGGATTTCTGTAATTGCTCAGAAGCTGAACCCTGCTTGAAGCTGCTAAAGCAGCAGCAGGCTTCAGGGCGCTGGTGGTCATGATGGGGGCGCACCAATGCAGCGTTGAGGCCTGGTGAAGATGAGGAAGACTTCTCTCACACTGTGTGAATGACCGGCCGGTGCAGAAAGATGATATGATGTCAGACACCCTGCAGCCTCCCAGACGTGGATCATCATTATTCAGACAGACTCCTGCGCAGCTTAGCCATGATGCATAAATCAAAGGATGATGAATGCAGCTGATTGGTCTTTGTTCTGAATGTGCATCATGGGCTGTTCTAATGCAGAAAGATAGATTCTTATGTAAAAATCAATAGAGGATATTCTCCAGCAGGGTGTCAGCGTTTAGTGTTATGGATCTTTTTTGACAGAGAGCGGCTGGAGCTTTAAGCTTCGAATGTTATCGTTTTGTCAATCGATAAACGAGCCACTTCTTTCACCATCTTCACTCTTCAAGCGGCATCCATCTTCTCAAGTACACCTCGAAGGCTAACGCCCAGTTCCAACATTTCCCCCATGATTCCTAATCCCATTTATGCTTTTATTGCTGATCAGGTAGGTCTGCGTTCTCTGCGACGTTAGGAAAGGTCGGCTGCTTTTAACTAGCTAATAATAATCTCTCGTTTTTGAGAGAATACTGAAAAAAGGAAATCCTTAAATCCTATAAATTTAACAAATATTATATATAGGTCATAAACAAGAATAATACCAGATAATCAGATACAATTTGAAAATGTAGGTTTAGAGAGATGGAGGTGGTAGATCTTCCAAAACTGTCAGTTAAACTGTTATATTAACCTAGAAATGAAGACGTAGATAGAAATGATCCAACCATGAGAGTCACAGACATTATTCACTGATTTTTCATTTGTTCTTCCCTCCTTCCAGCAGAAGAAATCCATCGATGCAGCTGAGTCCTTTCCTTCAGTGTCAGTCCAAAGAGAGCCAGCTAGCACATCCAATTAGTCAGTCAGAGAAACAGGACCACACTGGAAAACTAGACCACATGAAGCTACTATGAAAAAAAGCAGAGAGAGCAGAACGTTAGAGATTGAACTAACAGATTCTGCAGAGTGGGAGAATAGAGATAGAATGAAGCAGAATGATGAAAAAGGGGTCCCTATGTCCTCCAGCAGTCTAAGCCTATAGCAGCAGAACTATAGAGATAGATCAGGATAACCTGAGCCACTCTAACTAGAAGCTTTATCAAAAAGGAAAGTTTTAAGCCTAGCCTTAAAAGTAGACAGGGTGTCTGCCTCATCACACTTCATTTTTTTTAACCATAATTTTTTTTTTAACAGTTTTTACTTTGGTGATAAAATGATGGGGTAGTCATGATCTGATATCAATAAAAACGACACAAAAAGAAAACCTCTTCATTAAAAATACACAGTGACCATCCTCTTCATCCTCTTCATCAGGCTATCAAACATCACCGGAGCGTCTTCAGTCAGAGGCTCCTCCAGAGCCGCTGCAGCACAGAGCTACAGGAGATCCTTCCTGCCCACACCTTTATAAAACCCTTTGGGATTAATAAAGTTTTGTGGATCTGATTCCCATTTGTTGTTCAGAAATAAAACGACCAAAAGGCCGGTCCATCCTCTGGAGGTTCAGTCCTGCCAGCCGGTCTGAGGGATGCAGACAGTGATGTAGACATTAATGGTGCAGAAACGTCCTCCTCTCTGCTCCTTATTGTTTTATGAAGCCTGCACAGAGACACGCCGTCCGATCGGAGATTGATTGAGCCGCTCCTCTCCATTGATTCTTCTGCATGCGGTTCTGCTTTCTGCACAAACATCAGAAATGCAGCCAGGAAGAAAAACAGAGCTAAACACTTGGGTTTTATTTGTGTTTATTTTCCTCACTGTGACAATCAGAAGAGTTTTTTATTGGTTTCATGGATTATTTGCTCATTATGCATTAATCATGGGGCCCCATCTGAAAGGTGGCGGCGCCACAGAGTGAGAAACAACCGTTCTGATCTCAATTAGATTCTGCCTCTGCTCTGTCTGCCCATAAATCACCTTTCCAAAGTGAAATTAACAGTTACTGGAGCGCGTTAATACCCCCAGTCAGGCAGGAGGGGGAGGCACTGAGTGGAACCACATTATGAAAACCTCCATTTGTTTGTCAAATATCAACATCTCAGGTTTCCCTGCTCCTCTTCCTCCTCCTCCTCTTCCTCCATCTGTACAGCTGAGCCTGGCAGGGAGAAATCTGAACATCCGCCAGCAGCAGGTCATCACTGAGCAGCTTCTGAGCTCCAAGCTCTACGCCCTGAACAGGAGGCAGCATTATCTACAGTGAATGAAGTTAGTGGATTCTACTCTGTGTTTATTATTTCAGTCATATTTCTACTTCGGTTTAAATGATTGGTTTGGTTTTTGAGATTACTAAAGAGAAAGGAGGAATAAAAACATGGAATTAATAGAACTTTTGGAATAAAAATGTAAAAACTTTTTATTTCTTTATAAAAAAAAAAATTCTATATTTTTGAGCAAGAAATTTGATTTTCTGTTTAAATATAACATTTGTGCCAAAAGTGGGAGAAAATGAAATTTGGTTTATGAGCCGTTTTACTATTTTAGATGAAATGTTTTGTGGTAGTTGTTTTATGTTTGGGATATTTTGTTAGTTTTTAATTTAGTGCAGGGTTTTCATTTTATCTGTAATCAGCCGGAAAAATCTGCGTATTTTCAAACTGAAACAAAAATGTTGTTTTGACAAAAGGTTTTTATCTAAACGTCCGCATCCTATTAAACATCTTTCCTCCCAGCAGCTCAGAGACGTGATGTCTGCCAGCAACCAGCTGAGGAAGGCGTCTGCATGATGCCCTGCTCTCCGTTTCATCTTTATACCGTCCAACAGTTCCTGCAGAGACTGGAGTCACACTTTATTTCATTTAATATGTTTTTATGTTTTTAACAAAGTAGGTTTTGTCTTGCTACTTGCTGTTAAAATAAATTAATTTCTACACTGTGGGAAAATAAATTATGGTTCTATTCTATTCTATTAAGTTCTATTCTCTTTGATCCTATTCTGTTTCATTTTATCATATCATATTCTATTCTAATCTATTCTATTCTATTATATTTTGACCTAACCTGTTCTATTCTATTCCATTCTACTCTATTCTTTTCTATTCTATTATACAATATTCTATTCTATTGTATTATATTCTCTTCTATTCTATTAAGTTCTATTCTCTTCGATCCTATTCTGTTTCATTTTATCATATCATATTCTATTCTAATCTATTCTATTCCATTCTACTCTATTCTTTTCTATTCTATTATACAATATTCTATTCTATTGTATTCTATTCTATTCTATTAGGTTCTATTCTCTTCTATCCTATTCTGTTTCATTTTATCATATCATATTCTATTCTAATCTATTCTATTCTATTATATTTTGACCTAACCTGTTCTATTCTATTCATTCTACTCTATTCTTTTCTATTCTATTATACAATATTCTATTGTATTATACTGTATTCTATTCTATTCTATTAGGTTCTATTCTCTTCTATCCTATTCTGTTTCATTTTATCATATCATATTCTATTCTAATCTATTCTATTCTATTATATTTTGACCTAACCTGTTCTATTCTATTCCATTCTACTCTATTCTTTTCTATTCTATTATACAATATTCTATTGTATTATACTGTATTGTATTGTATTCTATTAAGTTCTATTCTCTTCGATCCTATTCTGTTTCATTTTATCATATCATATTCTATTATATTGTATTCTATTATATTGTATCATATTGTATTCTATTCCATTCTACTCTATTCTTTTCTATTCTATTATACAATATTCTATTGTATTATACTGTATTGTATTGTATTCTATTAAGTTCTATTCTCTTCGATCCTATTCTGTTTCATTTTATCATATCATATTCTATTATATTGTATTCTATTATATTGTATCATATTGTATTCTATTCCATTCTACTCTATTCTTTTCTATTCTATTCTACTCTATTGTATTCTATTCTTTTATATCATATCATATCATATTCTATTCTATTCTATTCTATTCTATTCTATTCTATTCTATTCTATTCTATTCTATTCTATTCTATTCTATTCTATGCTGTTATGGTTGATAATAATAACTCACAGCATCTCAGCCCTTCGTCCTCCAGATGTTTCTTACATCTTCTTCTTTGTCTTATTCCTGGTCGGTACGCTCAGGTAGAGTAAATTAGCTTCAGCTATAAAGCTAATGTATATTTATATCGTCTTTATGTGAAAAATATGTTTCACTGTGAAAAACAATCAATCTGTTTGAAGTGTCTCCTCATCATATTTATTGTTGTTTGATGCTTTCCAGCTCGCTTTGCTGTTTGGTCTGTGAAAGCCGCACCTTAAAGGAACCTCTGTCAACCTCTCAGTGTGTCTGTCAAAGGTCAGAGGTCAGCAGCATTCTCCTGTCAGGTGTCCCTTGAGTCATTACCATTTTAATGTCACACTTCCATTTATCTGTGCTGTGAAGGACAGAGGCTTTAAGCCTGCGTCCCGTGGGCTTCATTCCTTCTCTCCGCTGTCAGACGGAGATGAATCGGGCTGCTGTACAGTTACAGGTTCAGGCTCTCCTCCTTCGCTTGGTTTTGCTTGGATGTCCAGTCCTGGACACTTATATCTAGCATTCAACAGACAGAATTCTATGAATGTAGATCTTTGAGCCAGCTGATGTTAAACAGTTTCGTAAACGCTGGTACTGTCCAGGATAGATCACACTATTTCTAAAGGTTCCTACTTTGAAGTAAGTTGTTGGTTTTAATGCTGTTTCAGAAAAAGTTCTGCTGCTTTATAATATAATGGTTCATGTATGAAGGGTGCATCGCCACCATGTGTTTAGAAAGGTAAAAAATGTACAACTACATGCTTGTAAAAAGCAGAAGGCGCTGACCAAAGTGCTGAAAAAAAGATATGAATGATTAGAATAAATAAAGACATTTAGAAAAATATACATTAGTTAAACTTTTTGAAGAGTTTCAGTCTGGCTTTAGAGCTCATCATAGCACTGAAACAGCTCTGGTGAAAGTCACTAATGATATTCTCATGGCCTCAGTTATGGACTTGTATCTGTGCTCGTCCTGTTGGATCTTAGTGCTGCATTTGATACAGTTGACCATAATATTCTTTTAGAAAGACTTGAATATTTTGTTGGAATTAAAGGAACAGCACTAGACTGGTTTAAATCTTATCTATCTGGGCGAATTCAGTTTGTTCATGTTAATGATAGATCTTCAACACACTCAAAGGTTACCTGTGGAGTACCACAGGGATCAGTGCTAGGACCAATTCTCTTACTTTATACATGCTCCCAATTGGTAGAGTTATTAGACAGCATGGGATTAATTTCCACTGTTATGCTGATGATACCCAGCTATATCTGTCTATAAATCCAGATGAAGCTAACCCATTACATAGATTACAGGCATGTCTGAAGACATAAAAACCTGGATGACTCTTAACTTTCTGCTTCTGAATGCAGACAAAACAGAAGTTATAGTCTTTGGACCAGAGTCTCTGAAAAAGAAGCTGATTAGCCAGTCACTTCATTTGGATGGGATTAAACTGATTTCAGATAATAAAGTAAAAAATCTTGGTGTTATTTTTGATCAGGACCTGTCATTTAAATCCCAGATCAAAGAGGTTTCTAGAATTTCCTTCTTTCATCTGAGGAATATTGCAAAAATGAGCAATCTCCTGTCCAGGGGTGATGCTGAGAAACTAGTCCATGCATTTGTTACTTCAAGGCTGGACTATTGTAATTCTTTACTATCAGGAAGTCCACAAACTGTAGTTAAAAGCCTTCAGCTGATCCAAAATGCTGCAGCCAGAGTTCTAATGAAAATTAAAAAGAGAGATCATATCTCTCCTATCCTGGCTTCTCTTCATTGGCTTCCTGTTAAATCAAGAATAGAATTTAAAATCCTCCTTCTCACATATAAAGCCTTAAATGGCCAAGCTCCATCTGATATCAGAGATCTGATTGTTCCTGATGTTCCTAACAGAGCACTTCGCTCTCAATCTGCAGGTTTACTAGTGGTTCCTAGAATTTCTAAAAGTAGAATGGGAGGCAGATCTTTTAGTTATCAGGCTTCTCTCCTGTGGAACCAACTACCAGTTTTAGTCCGTGAGGCAGACACCCTGTCTACTTTTAAGGCTAGGCTTAAAACTTTCCTTTTTGATAAAGCTTATAGTTAGAGTGGCTCAGGTTATCCTGAGCTATCTCTATAGTTCTGCTGCTATAGGCTTAGACTGCTGGAGGACATAGGGACCCCTTTTTCATCATTCTGCTTCATTCTATCTCTATTCTCCCACTCTGCAGAATCTGTTAGTTCAATCTCTAACGTTCTGCTCTCTCTGCTTTTTCTCATAGTAGCTTCATCTGGTCTGTTCCTGTTTGGCTGTGACTCCATCCTGGAGAGAAATATCAGCTGTGCTGCTGCCATCAACACCTTTAATTACAGACGATAGCATGGACATAATTTTTGGGGACATGTCCCCTGGATGTTTTACTGTCCAAAAAAAATGTTACGCTACAGTACACAGACATTTGTCATGCACTTGGACCATGCGGAAAACTGCAGGTATAACTGCAGCCTGCTTCCCTGTGTTTAACCTACAAGCTCCTGATTGGCGCACCGTGTTTCTTGTGTGATTGGCTTTCACCGCTGTCACTCCTGACAGCAAACACCTGACAGGCCACTGAATCAGGTCTGTGATTGGACGGTCAAACAGACTGAAGCACTTGCATCCCCACCTCTCCTGAAATCAAAATGTTGTCAGTCAATGATAGTCTGGGGCCTATTTTTCAGTGTTCAGTCCTGTTTCTCTCCTAGACTTAACTGTAAGCTCAGCTGGGACTAACTGGATGTTCTCACTTTCATCCTTTGATAGGAAGGATGCACTACATCTCCAGGCCTACATGCAGCCACATCTTTAGCACACACACAATATCCATCTGTGTGAGATTACTCTGGTCTTTCTCCAGGAAAAAAACAAATTATTTACAATTGAAAATGAATTCTCAACCTGGAAGGGAAATCAGACATGCTGAATTTCTAAAGCAAATTGTTTCAACTTCAAACAATTAATAATTCAGTTTCGTATTATAAGATTCAGCTTCAATTAAGAGGAATTCAGTCTGTTTCATTTCCAGTTGCACAGATTCACTCTGAACAATTAAAATTTTACAGTTTTAATTTCAGAAAACTTTATTTGTTTGCTCCTTTATCAGATGATGAGACATATTCTGTTTTTCTCGGGATGAATTAAAAGCTGC